ACACTGTTGGAGATGTGCTGCTACTTGTGTTTATAGTACATGTGTATGTGTGTCAAAAGGTTCAGAGGAAATCTCCCGTCACTCATAAAAAGAAAGGGCCTCAGCTGACGTTTGGGTCTCCCTTTCTCCTCTCTGTCTCTTTACATTTGGTTCCATGACGGTGAGCTGGTCAATGCTCCTTTACAAAGAGTCCGACTTGGTAAGCTGGAGCGAGTTGTTAAGAGTTTGAGGTCTGTGCGTTAAATCAAGACTTTAAAAAACTATATTTTAAGAGTAATTGTCTGTCTGACTGAATGAGTGAATGTACCTTCTGACTCCCCCTACGTCAGCCCTGACATCTAAAGAAGCCTCCAGTGCCATAACGGTACAACAGTTGGAGGAGTTTTGATGGAAACAGACAAAGTAAAAAACAAAAATGAAAAGAAATATTTGAAATAATAATTAAGTTGTGTAAGAAAGTTCATAAGACGATGGCAATCACCTATATACAGCATGTCTTTTTACCACTGCCCGGTGCGATGGCTGTTTGTGGTTATAGCACTTTGCTCTGTGGTGCTAAAATCTTCTAACATAATTTCATCACATTTCAGCAGCTATGTGCAACAGTACCCTCTGACAAAGTTGTTCCTCAACTCAGGCTCAGTGGAGTGACTGTGTATACTGACTGAGGTCTGAACTGAAGCAGAACTCGGTCAGATCTCATAAGCCTGATATTTCCTGGTGGCACTGACACTTCTTGTGCAAACCCATACTAACACTCTCCGATTATTTCTCTTGTTTGGGTTTGTGTCTGCCTGTCTGGGGTTCGCTTTTCTTTTTCCATTGTGGTCTGTAGATGACTAACCTCTAAATATAGTGTGTTACCTACAGATTTTCCATATCAATAAGTAGAATTGTAGCCAAGGAACAAGTGAAAATTTTGTTCTTTTGTTGTGCAGGTAAATAGTCTGTTTTATGAAGATAAATTACAAGTTATTTTATTTTGTAAGCACTGGCAGCACAAAGAAGAGCGAGTCCCAAATCTGTCAGTTGTACCTGAAGCCAGTGTGCCCCCAGGGTGTCTTTTGCCCTGTTTTCCTCCCATCACCTCCAATGGTTGTGGCAGAAGGCTGGAGGTTTCTTCCTGTTAAAAGCAAGTTTTTCCTTCCCACTGTTGCCAAGTGCTTACCCAAAGGGGTTTGTTTGATTGATGATTTTTCTTTACTATTGTAGGGTATTTCCTTACAATATAAAGCACCTTAAGGTGACTGCTGTTGTGATTTGGCGCGATATGAATAAAACTGTATTGAAAAAATTGGTCATTGTCAACAGAAGCTGAGTCAACAGGTCAAAGTTAAGTCTATTATTACTTAAAATGATGCATGCAACAAAGCTGATGATTTTGTAATACGTGACATTAAAACTTGAAGCTACAGTCAGTCATCCATTGAGGTTATTTAATAGAAAAAAAAGGTATTTATAAATGTACATTATCAGTGTGTAATTGTGCCTACTGTAGGTTTCAGAATCCAACAAAGTTAGAGCCAATTCAAAGAAAGATTTATCAATGCTGGCTAGCAGCAACGAAAACAGGCTAACAGCAGTTAACAGTGGCAAAAACAGCAGCCCTTGCTGATAAAAAGTTCAGGATATCCTCAACAATTTAACTCAGTATCGCTGTTATCAGACAGACGCGAGCTCCACTGTCTCATCTGCCTGCAGGGGACACTTTTCAAAAACGCTTCTCACCCGACATGTCGACAGCTGAGGGGACTGACAGCCTCCACCAATTTGGTGAGTTTTTGAGGTGACTCAGATGTAAAAACGTAAAATACCTCAAAAATACTTCATTGACACATATTCATGTTTTATTCTTGATTTAATCTTGAATGTTGACATTGTTTAAATATGTTCAAATATAGTGTGTACAAAAATGGCTCTATACGAAAACAGTAGAAGAACTGGGAGTGGTAAAAACATAATAATTCAGAATTCAGTTGACTGCAGTGTTCATTGTACTGACATCTAATGGCAAGATTTCACACACTGCATCTTTAAGTGTGAACTCAGAAAGCAAATAAAAAGTCTCACAAGTTGCCATTTCTTTTGCAGTTTAAAGAAATAATCAGGCTAAATGAAGGCATTTGTGTGTGTGCATCTGTGTGAATGTGTATGTGTGAAAGAGAGAGAGAGAAAATTTATGTTGGACACTAATTTGTGTGTTTCACGCGTGTTTTGACAGTTCTGCAAACTAATCTTTGTTGTCGCTTTACAAGAGTAGGTTGAGTGTGTATGTGTGTGAGCAGGGTGAGGAGAAGCGGGTTCATTCAAAACCTGTTACTGCACAGATAAAGTCTCCTCCGCTGATATTAGATTTACTTCTTGTTCACTGAAGTAACATATTTTGCAGAGGAGCATCTGCTGAGAGGTTTGAATTTGTCTACTCTCTGCTCATTTCAATGCATGAATACATTTTTGAAAGGTTACGGAAAATCTGATGAATTACCCATGCTCTACAGCACTGAAAAACATTCTGGTAGACTTTTGAGCTTTTCTTTACTCAGCTGACTTGAGTATAAGTGACGTAACACAGTACTGAACTTGGTTTGTTAAAGACACTCCCTGCACTTTCTGTTGCTTGTGTGCAGAGAAAGACATGCAAAATGCTGGCATGTCTGTTGTCTTTTACATCATCTCCTCCATCTTCTTGTGTGGTTTGGTATTCAAACTCTGCTTGGAGGGAATATCTGGGCGGCTAGCCACCTCACTCACTCTCAAGCCTTTCCTCTTTAGAATCACTGTGACACACACACAGACACATACACACACACACACACACACACACACACACA